TCACGTACTTGTTTTTAATGTACCTATGATTTACAGTAATACATTATATTTACTACAATGATATACTGTTTGGGATTTTACAATAATTTACTGCTGCCATTTGACAGTTTTGAATGTAATTTTTACAGACTTTTTTTACAGTGTAAAAGTGCCCACCATGGAGCTGTTGTTTGTGGTTTTGTAACATCAGCTGTGGCGGCCATATTGAATTGTGCTGACTCCAAACATTAATCATGTAGCTGTTCATCCAGTACTTTCTGAAGGCTTCAATAAAATAACATCATTACATTTTTCAGATCTGCTCTGAAGGGATTTTAGAGTTAAGTATTGCATTTTACATCAGAAAGAACACAGAAAAGAAACGTTCAAACTTGAAAGCGCTGCTTCCTTTGGAGAGCATCTGTTCTGTTTCCCAGTGGTTCAGACCTCTGGTAGCCTCAGAATAGATGGAAACGAGACTCAACTCCCACACAAACGTTCACGCGGAAACTGCTGACATAAGCAGAACTGACACCTGGAAAACCGTCTGCTGCAGAATTACACCTGACTTAAAGCGTGAAGAGGACTAAAGGTAGGATTTTGCAGCTGAACACTTTGCAGGCCTGAAGAGAGTTGTGTTTGTTACTAAGTGTTGGCATGAAATAAGTGAAAAACACGAGGACTTTGAAAATTGTAAATTTATAATGTGAGTTGTGAAAAAAATTAATAATTAAAAGTTGAACATTGAGATGGAGACTGAGCATCTTGGTGTTTTCCGCCAAATAAATTCAAAAAGTGGTTGTGCCCGACAGAAGTTAAATATTTAATTGAGCTGTGTGTAAAAAAAAAACCTGAATATCTGAAATGTTACAAACGTGCAAGCTGCTCCTCTTTCTTACATCTTATTCTCCGTTACCAATTTGTTCTGGATGAGTTCAGCCCTGAAAAGAAAACGAGTTTATCCCCGAGAGTCTGTGCTCTCTGTGATGGGTGTTTCTGAGGCACGGAGAGGGCGAGTTCTCTGATATTTAATGCTCATTGCTGAAGTTTAATTCAGCTTCATTCAGCTCTAACACACAGCTTATTTAGTATTCCTGCTTTTCTTCTTGTCCTCTGTTCGCCCCACTTCACATACTGTACTTTACAGAAGAAAGATGGATGCTTCTGGAATACCTTTAATGACAAAGTCCAGGAGGCGTACCGTATTTTTCGGACTATAAGGCGCACTTAAAATACTTTAATTTTCTCAAAAAAAGTTTGCTTAACAAAAGGACTTAACGGTCAAATCAGCTGTATTTCAAAAGTATTCGCTGCCTTCGTGCTCCCGGGAGCGCGCAGACAGGGAGGAAAAAGGAAGGAGGAAAGCTGCGCGTTTCTTCAAAATTTTATAAGAAAATCACTTGAAACAATTGTTTATTTGCTCAAAAATATAGCAAAGGTGTGTCTCTGTTGAAGTTTTACTTAATAAATGCACTTTAATGGACAAATTAGCTGCATTTTGCTGGGGCGGTGCAGCAAAATAAAGCTTGTTTGACGGTTGCTCCAAGCAGCGAACAGAATGAAGGTCGGGTTGTATGGCAAGCCGATTGTGTCATTAATAGCTTTGAAGCTTCTCAGTCATCCAGGACATGGTAAATTCAAAAAGTTCAAGACAAAAACCAATAAAGTATAAAGTAAAATATAATAAATAAAATCCATTTGGTTTTGTCTTGAACTCCTTGTCATTATAGCCACTTTTCCACTTTGCTACTCTGGTGCCATCTAGTGGCTAAAAAATGGTAGTGTTCAATATTTTAAATCAGAATGAACGAAAACGGTCATATTTCAGCCAAAAATTGGTTTATAAATATGGGGGAAAAAAATCCATAAATACATTGCTTCGGCATATAAGTCGCAGGGCATGCAAATTATGCAACCCCCCCCCCCCCCCCCCCAATTATAGGGCAAAAAATACGGTACTTACCGAGCTTACTGACCTCGAACCAATTTTATGTGGTACAACTGAACAATGTGGTGCGTTACTGTGAATGAGTTGAATAAAGTTTGACTTATCTGACTGTTTTATTTTGTTTAATCCGCCTTATAATCCGGTGCACCTTATATTCCGAAAAATACGGTGGCTACACTTTAGATCAGATGTGGGCAACGTAAGGCCCGAGGGCCAAAAGTGGCCCTTAGACAATCTCCATCAGACTTCCAGTTTAAAAATAAAACTTAAAAAAAAAAGATTGATTTAAAATCCCCCATCATTTTACCAATGAGAATTAAGGAAATTTAAATTAAACATTTTACACAAAACCTTTTTAAGTCGTTGTGTTTCCTGAACTAGACTGAAATTTAGAGACTTAGAAACATAAATATATACATATTTTTTGCATATTTCTGTTAAGATGTATAAGCTAACGTGTATAATATATTGTCACAAATGCCAGTTTACAGAATGTGTGTTATATTCTTAAAGGATATTGGAAAGACTTGTTTTATAAAGCATGCTAATAAGACAAAGACTGAAAAAGTTCTTCTCTGTCATAAAGAAAATTTATTTTCCAATTCTGTATATGGCCCTTTGAAAAAAATGTTTCCCACTTGTGCTTTAGATGATTTGCGGTCAAATTAAAAATCTTGCTGTACGATTCTGCATCCCACTAATCCGCCAACTGGACCATAGTGACGTGCACAAAAAAGGACGTTTTGTTTATTTCAGCCCTGCGTTTGAATGATGATGTTACAACGATCACAGCTCGGGGGCTGAATTTTTTTTTTTTTTCATGCTTTTTGAGAAACATCTAGTTTGCTGTTGCCTCTTCTCCTCACAATATTCTATTTTTTTTCTTTGCTACACATTTGGGACCTGTGGCGACCAGCACAAAAAGCTTTTTCCCATTCATGCATGATGAGCTCCAAATGTTTTCAAAGGGGACGATGTGGCCTACATGAAGGATTTTACACTCATTCACTGTAAATTCATGCTGTTGGGGTACATTTATAATATGATCTGGCAACAAAGCCTTCCCTGAATCCAACATGTCTTCTGAAGGCCAGCGTGTGCTGACGTCATCCTGTATCAGTGGAAATGACCCAGAACACCTGCATTAATGCATTCCACATAAGCCATCCCAGATGTTGGCTTTTCACCCCTGTGCTGATGGAAATCCACTCTTTGCTTTTAGGAATAAAGTGTCCATGATTTATAGCATTTGATTTACGATATCAGGTTTTTATTTGTCACACAACTCGACAGTCTCAACATCTTTTCCAGTTTTTTAGTTGCTCCTTTCTCAGCTTTTTAACAACTGCTACAGGAGAGCATCTGGAAATATGCCCCAGCTTCAACAGGCGGTCATGTTTAGTTAAAGGAATAGTTCAAAGCATTTGAAGTGATGCTTTGTGAAAATGTTGTGAACAATCAACATCTTACCTGCTGCACATAACTTTTCACAAGTTCTCTTTTTGGAGAAACTAAAGGTCAGTTTTATTATTATTATTTTTTTAATCTCTTCACACTTGAGATCATTTATATTGACTTTATGAATTTTATCTGTTTTGCTTTTGTTTTACTTAAACAATGTGCTGTACCTAACAAATTTAAGTCATGTCCTATGGACAGGTTTTTGTTGTTGTTGTTGAAATGTTTCATCCTTTATCCAAAGGACTTCATCAGTCCGAGGAGCCACAACAAACTCGGTCCCACTCACTGTGTAAATAAATGTGCTACGCATACAAGGGCGTCAGAAGCATCCGTAATGTGGGGGGGGGGGGACACAATGATGTGTGTAGGTGAGTGTGCGCGCATTTAAAAAAAAAAGTGTTCACTAGTGAACAAAAAAGCAGCATTTCACGTAGATTTCCTTTAATTCCACACATTTAAAACATGTTTCTCACCAAGTTTGTGTAAATTCAGCTGTGAGTTTAAAGTAATTTTAACTTTAATACAGAGCGTCAGATCGGCACTATTTGTGTTTATAGAGAAATAAGAAACATCACCACTAGACTTTTTTTTACTTGCGTTCAACACTACTCATCTAAATGATGTTTCTCATGAAGCTTGAGGACAATAAGGTGTGGGTTTTTTAAAGACATTTCAACTTTAATGCACCTGAACACACCACGACTCTTACAACTGCAGCGTCTCACAGCGTCACAGTTACTGCTAAGCTAACATGCTACAGACGTAGCGCTCCTCTCAAGCATCCTCCTAACATGAATACATGTTTATGATCAACCCCCCGGTCAACAACGCCGCACAAAGCTCGCTAAACTGGCGAGCGAGTAACACAGAGGTGTGTCCTCCACCTCCTCCACCTGTGTGCGTTTTCTGCAGAAGCAGGAGGAGATGCACAGAAACACTGCAGGTGTTACACCATATTCTGTGACCACCGTATAATGTGACCGTGGCAACAAACTGCTGTGTTTAGAGTTTGAGGTAACCAGGAAAACCTGGAGTGGAGTTTTAGTGGTTTGAGTATTCTCCTATTAATCAAGTGGAATGGATTCGTTCACGAAGAAAGTAACTGCGCCGACTGAACTAATGTTTTATAGTAAAAGTGTGTGTGTGTGTGTGTGTGTGTGTGTGTGTGTG